CATTGAGCTACAAGTAAACTTGCAGCAGTTATCAAGTTCAACATCAAATCCATTTCTTTTTTATCCAGATCTTCCATAATACCCAGCAGAAATATCTGCGGCTTAAACTTTATCTTTTTCTTAAAAATATTTTGAATATTCCACCATATCTTTATCCAGAATGCCTTAACTCCCCTGCATGTCCACCACATATGAAAATGAGTTGCATCTAACCTCATTGGAGGTTTTTAAGAAGAGATTGGACAGCCACTTGTCTGAAATGATATGGGGTCTCCTGCTTGAGCAGAGGGTTGGACTAGAAGACCTCCAAGGTCCCTTCCAGCTATTCTATTCTATTCTATTCTATTCTATTCTATTCTATTCTATTCTAGTCTAGTCTAGTCTAGTCTAGTCTAGTCTAGTCTATTCAGGTCTAGTCTAGTCTAGTCTAGTCTAGTCTATTCAGGTCTAGTCTAGTCTAGTCTAGTCTAGTCTAGTCTATTTCTATTCTATTCCTTATTTTAATTCTATTCTATTCTATTCTATTCTATTCTATTCTCTATTCCATATTCTATTCTATTCTATTCTATTCTATTCTATTCTATTCTATTCTATTCTATTCTATTCTATTCTATTCTATTCAGGTCTAGTCTAGTCTAGTCTATTTCTATTCTATTCCTTATTTTAATTCTATTCTATTCTATTCTATTCTATTCTATTCTATTCTATTCTATTCTATTCTATTCTATTCTATTTTATTCTATTCTATTCCATAATTCTATTCTATTCTACAATACCCCAATGAAGGAACAGCCAGCTCAAACAATGATCAAAGAGCCCGTAGGGTTCCTTTTGCCTTAAGAGTGCCTTGTGGGGTCCCTACTCACCCCTCTTCCCCCATTAGGATCCTCAAAAAAAACCCCTTCCTGCCGAGTCCTTCACTCCACCTCATGGACACCAAGTTGTTTCTCCATTGTGCAGATATCTATGCCAGGCCACTGGAAACTCTGGCAACGCTGGACGTGAAGGTGAACCAAGAGGAATTCGTACAGGTGAGGAGGATGGGGAGGGGGGAGGAGGAGGAGAAAGAGGAGGAGGAGTAACATTTTCCCAGGAGAGATGGTGGACTTGGGACCCTCCCCTCTACAAAGAATTGAGATGATACAGAAGTGGGAAATGCAGCATATAAGGAACGGTTGCTGGAATTGGGTCTGTCTAGTTGAAAGAAGAGAAGGACGAGGGGGGACATGATAGCAGCCTTCCAGTATCTCAGGGGCTGCCCCAAAGAAGAGGGAGTCAAGCTATTCTCCAAAGTGCCTGAAGGCAGGACAAGAAGCAACAGATGGAAACTCATCAAAGAGAGAAGCAACCTAGAACTAAGGAGAAACTTCCTGACAGTTAGAACAATTAACCTGGAACAACCTGCCTCCAGAAGCGGTGAATGCTTCAACACTGGAAGATTTTAAGAAGAGACTGGACAGCCATTTGTCTGAAATGGTATAGGGTTTCCTGCCTGAGCAGGGGGTTGGACTCGATGGCCTCCAAGGTCCCTTCCGACTTTTTTATTATTATTATTATTATTATTATTATTATTATTATTATTATTATTATTATTATTATTATTATTATTATTATTATTATTATTATTATTATTATTATCGTGGTCGCCACAATGTAAAAAAGATGTTGAGACTCTAGAAAGAGTGCAGAGAAGAGCAACAAAGATGATTAGGGGACTGGAGGCTAAAACATATAAGGAACGGTTGCTGGAATTGGGTCTGTCTGGTTTCATGAAGAGAAGGACGAGGGGGGACATGATAGCAGCCTTCCAGTATCTCAGGGGCTGCCCCAAAGAAGAGGGAGTCAAGCTATTCTCCAAAGCGCCTGAAGGCAGGACGAGAAGCAACGGATGGAAACTAACCAAGGAGAGAAGCAACCTGGAACTAAGGAGAAACTTCCTGACAGTGAGAACAATTAACCGGTGGAACAACCTGCCTCCAGAAGTTGTGGGTGCTCCATGTCTGGAGGGTTTTAGGAAAAGACCGGACAGGTCACGATATTTCGTCATTTTTTCCAGTTCTTTTTCTCTGACTCTGGCATCTCCTGGTACAGCGATATCAATCAGCTGTACGCTTCGGTTCTCTACAACTGCGATATCCGGCACAATTCACTTAAGCAACTGCAGTGATTCGCTTAACAACCGTGGCAAAAAAAAAAAAAGAGGTTGCGCAATTGGTGTGTGTGTGTGTGTGTGACTTATTTAACGGCTGCCTCATTTAGCAACAGAGATTCAGATCCCCATTGAGGTCGTAAGCTGAGGACCCCCCTGCCTACGGCGCCCCAAATTCCTTGGGAGAATATGAATGTGGCGGGAAAGGTGGGGAGCCAGGAGAAGCAAATTAACCGGGGAACAAAATGCGATACTGTTTTTCCTCCTTCTTTCTTTCCTCTTTTCACCCCCCAGTATCTCCTTTCTTACGTCAAAAACTTCACCAGCGACCTCTTCCAGGAGCTGCTGAAGCATCTGCTCCAATCTTCTCACGATGCCCGCAACGCCATCCGACACGACGTCTGGAGGCAGATGTTCGTCCAGCTGTTCTTCGATTGTGAATATGGACAGGTGCAGTCGACGGCTCCTTACAGAAGACAGAATAACAGAGCTGGAAGGGACCTTGGAGGTCTTCTACTCCAGCCCCCTGCTAGAGCAGGAAACTTATAGGGCTTCTTGCCTGAGCAGGGGGTTGGATTAGAAGACCTCCAAAGTCCCTTCCAGCTTCTATTCTATTCTGTTCTGTTCTGTTCTGTTCTGTTCTGTTCTGTTCTGTTCTGTTCTGTTCTGTTCTGTTCTGTTCTGTTCTATTCTATTCTATATTTTCTATTCTATTTTATTCTATTCTATTCTTATTCCATTCCATATTTTCTATTCTATTCTATTCTATTCTATATTTCATTCTATTCTATATTCTATTCTATTCTATTCTAATTTTCCTATTCTATTCTATTCTATTCCTTATTTTAATTCTATTCTACTCTATTCTATTCTATTCTTATTCCATTCCATATTTTCTATTGTATTCTATTCTAGTCTAGTCTATATTCTAGTCTAGTCTAGTCTTCTATTTTCTATTCTATTGTTCTATTTTCTATTCTATTTTCTATTCTATTCTAGTCTATTCTTCTATTTTCTAGTCTATTCTTCTATTCTTCTATTTTCTATTCTATTCTATTCTATTCTATTCTATTCTATTCTACTCTATTCTATTCTATTCTGTATTCTCCATTCCATTCTCTATTCTATTCTATTCTATTCTATTCTATTCTATTTCTATTTTATTCTTATTCCATTCCATATTTTCTATTCTATTCTATTCTAGTCTATTTTAGTCTAGTCTAATCTTCTATTTTCTATTCTATTCTTCTATTTTCTATTCTAATTTCTATTCTATTTTCTATTCTATTCTATTCTAGTCTATATTCTAGTCTAGTCTAGTCTTCTATTTTCTATTCTATTCTTCTATTTTCTGTTCTATTTTCTATTCTATTTTCTAGTCTAGTCTAGTCTAGTCTAGTCTAGTCTTCTATTTTCTATTCTATTCTATTTTCTATTCTATTTTCTATTCAATTCTATTCTATTCTAGTCTAGTCTATTCTATTCTAGTCTAGTCTAGTCTTCTATTTTCTATTCTATTTTTCTATTTTCTATTCTATTTTCTATTCTATTTTCTATTCTATTTTCTATTCTATTCTATTCTAGTCTATATTCTAGTCTAGTCTAGTCTTCTATTTTCTATTCTATTCTATTTTCTATTCTATTTTCTATTCAATTCTATTCTATTCTAGTCTAGTCTATTCTATTCTAGTCTAGTCTAGTCTTCTATTTTCTATTCTATTTTTCTATTTTCTATTCTATTTTCTATTCTATTTTCTATTCTATTTTCTATTCTATTCTAGTCTAGTCTATTCTATTCTAGTCTAGTCTAGTCTTCTATTTTCTATTCTATTCTTCTATTTTCTGTTCTATTTTCTATTCTATTTTCTATTCTATTTTCTATTCTATTCTAGTCTAGTCTATTCTATTCTAGTCTAGTCTAGTCTTCTATTTTCTATTCTATTCTTCTATTTTCTGTTCTATTTTCTATTCTATTTTCTAGTCTAGTCTAGTCTAGTCTTCTATTTTCTATTCTATTTTCTATTCAATTCTATTCTAGTCTAGTCTAGTCTTCTATTTTCTATTCTATTTTTCTATTTTCTATTCTATTTTCTATTCTATTTTCTATTCTATTCTATTCTATTCTAGTCTAGTCTATTCTAGTCTAGTCTAGTCTATTCTAGTCTAGTCTAGTCTAGTCTAGTCTAGTCTCTTCTCTATTCCCTAAAATAAAAGAAGTCCCGTTTCTGCCCTAATTTACAGATGGGCAATTTTCACACTTCCTGGTTTGCAACTCATCTCCTTGGTAGAACCTCTAGATTTTCACCGGGTTTCCTAGGATCTCCCGTCACGGTTTGGTGGAGGCCCAGCAAACTCACGAAAAGTCGACTTACTCCCGATGTCGGTTCTTCTCTTCTCCTAGATAGGACTCTTGGACAGAGCGAAGGTCTTGTCGCTCCTGGAGAAGTTCTACCGCAGCAGCTCGGACCTGGCCAAGGAGATTTATTGTAACCCCAAAAAATGTAAGCGGGACTAGGGGTTGACCGGGCCAAGGTGGTCCTAACCTCCGTCTCTGAAGATCTAGATTTGAAGCCAACATTCCCTGCGCTTCCTCTTTCTCTTAGGGCCCATCGCTGAACTGGACGACATAGACCTGACGGAGTTTTGGGGCAACCTGGAGCCAGACGATGAAGAGGAACCTCCAGAGGAACCACCTACCCCTGAGCGTACATTATCTCAGGAAGCCATCTACCTCAACAGGAAGCTGAAGGGCATTCTTTCTGATGAGCAAGCAGCCCTTGGCGCCAACGGAGAACCAGCCGTCCACGAGCTGGAAGACGCCGAGATGGAGCAGCAGGTCAGCCCACCGGAAGCGGCGACTGAAGATGTCCCTACAACAGCCGCCCAAGACGAAGCAGAAGAACCTCAAGCAGAAATGCCAGCATCTGAGCTGGAACCCCAGGTGGCAGAGGCTGAAGAGGAGCCCGAAGCTACCACAGAGCCCACCACTGAAGAAGTGGAGAGACCTGCTGGTGAAGAAGCTGCCCCAGAAGACCATCCAGGGACACCGCTTGAGCCCCTTTTGGAAGGAGAAGAAGTTGTGAAGGAAGTCAAGTCAGAAGAGGCCATCCTGGCTTCGCCTTCCCAGGTGGCAGCTCGGGTGCAGAAGATCTTGGACGACGAGGAAGAACCGGTCCCCAAGTCTCCCTCGGTGGAGAAGGACCTTGCTCCAAAGGGAATGGAAGCGGAAGGGACAGATGGGCAGGAAGAGCCAGAAGAGAAAGCAGAGCCTGGAACAGAGGTAGAGGAAGAGGAGGCAGGTGGACAGGCCAAGCCAGAAGAGAAAGCAGAGGCAGATGGCCAAGGACCAGTGGGCCCCAAGGACCAGGCTGCTACTGGAAAAGACAAAGCGCCAGGAGTCTTGGATACAAGTATGCCATGGGTTCCTTCATAGCCTTGTTAGATACGTTAGTGCAGGGGTAGGCAACCTTGGCTCTTTTATGACTGGTGGACTTCAACTCCCAGAATTCCTGAGCCAGCATGGGGGAACTATGGCCCCCTTTGTGGACTTCAACTCCCAGAATTCCTGAGCCAAGAAGGGGAACTATGGCCCCTTCATGACTCGTGGACTTCAACTCCCAGAATTCCTGAGCCAGCGTGGGGGAACTATAGCTCCCTTGATGACTCGTGGACTTCAACTCCCAGAATTCCTGAGCCAGCATGGGGGAACTATGGCCGCTTCATGACTTGTGGACTTCAACTCCCAGAATTCCTGAGCCAGCATGGGGGAACTATGGCCGCTTCATGACTTGTGGACTTCAACTCCCAGAATTCCTGAGCCAGCATGGGGGAACTATGGCCGCTTCATGACTTGTGGACTTCAACTCCCAGAATTCCTCAACCAGCATGGGGGAACTATGGCCGCTTCATGACTGGTGGACTTCAACTCCCAGAATTCCTGAGCCAGCATGGCTCAGCTTGGAAACCTCTCCCTTTCCCCTCAGCATGCCTGGCTCAGGAATTCTGGGAGTTGAAGTCCACCAGTCATAAAAGAGCCAAGGTTGCCTACTCCTGCACTAGTGGGTTCCCAACCCCCGGGCCGTGTCCCAGTACCAGGCCGCGGCATGCCAGCAACCGATCCGCACAAACAAGCAAAGCCCCATCCGCAGGATGCAGGCAGCACACAAAACCACGCACTCTCCGGTCCGTGGAAAAACCTCTCTCCACGGAACCAGTGGTCCCTGGTACCCCAAAGGTTGGGGGCCTCTGTGTTAGTTAACAGAATAACAGAGTTGGAAGGGACCTTGGAGGTCATCTAGTCCAACCCCCTGTTCAGGCAGGAGGCCCTCCACCATTTCAGACAGATAGTTGTGCAATCTCTTCTTAAAAACTTCCAGTGTTGGAGCACCCACAACTTCTGGTGGCAAGCTGTTCCACTGGTTAATTGTCCTCATTGTTAGGAAGTTTCTCCTTAATTCCAGGTTGCTTCTCTCCTGGATTAGTTTCCATCCATTGCCCTTCCTTCCTTCCTTCCTTCCTTCCATCCATCCATCCATCCGTCCATCCGTCCATAGAATAATAGGGAGGAACCGTGGAGGTCTGCTAGTGATCCAACTCTGCTCAGGCAGGAGACCCTAGCTAGACTATTCCAGACAAATGGCTGTCCAGTCTCTTCTTAAAAACCTCCAGTGATGGAACACCCACAACTTCTGGAGGCAAGCCGTTCCACTGGTTAGGAATTGTTCTCACTGTTAGGACATTTCTTCTTAATTCTAGGTTGCTTCTCTCCTTGGTTAGCTACCTTCCGTTGCTTCTTGTCCTGCCTACAGCTACTTTGGACAATTCACCCTTGATAGTTAACTGCAGGGCTCTCTCCTTACCTGGACACAACAATGATGGCCTGTCTTACAGACTAGGATTAATAGAGAACAATTAATCCATGGAACAGCTTGCTTCCCGAAACTGTGGCTGCTTCATCACTTGAGGTCTTCAAGAAAGTCCAGTTGCCTCCTGGAAAAAGCATCTTTGAGACTTTGGGGAATTAAAGACTATCCCTCTTAAAGCATGCTGCCCAGGGAATTCTGGGAATTGAAGTCCACTCATCTTAACGCAACTGCTTAGTTTTCAAGAAAACCTTTCCTGGATTAAATTCGGACCAGAACTTTTAGCTAGACCGTGCGGCAGACAAAGAAAAGCTTTAATAATGGAGACCTTAAACAGCCACTATTTTGTCAAGGAGAAATTTCTGATGCAGAATATTGAATATAAAAAATGCTCAGAGAGTTATGCTCAAATGCGTTCTAATGCTCCCTCTACTGGTCATCCATAATTGCAACTTACTAAGATTGATAGAGTTGGTTTCCAGCTTTAAAAACTTAGATTTGGGGGCAGTAAAAACAGTATTTCCCAATTTACAGGAGTGTGGACTTCCACTCCCAGATTTCCATAGCAAGTAAGACCATTGATGAGAATTCTAGGAGCAGGCTAGCTGGGGGATTCTGGGAGTGGAAGTCCACCCCTCTTAAAGCATGCTGGCTGGGGGATTCTGGGAATGGAAGTCCACCCCTCTTAAAGCAGGCTGGCTGGGGATTCTGGGAGCGGAAGTCCACCCCTCTTAAAGCATGCTGGCTGGGGGATTCTGGGAATGGAAGTCCACCCCTCTTAAAGCAGGCTGGCTGGGGGATTCTGGGA